ATTTTGAAGTTCATCATTTATATATTTTAAACCATTTTGAACAATTAAATTCAAAATATGACATACACAACGAATATGAAACAAATACCTACCAAAATTATGTTGCAGTACCCTATGCAATTTATCGACAACTACTTTATTAACACTAGCATTATCGAAAGTAAATAAACGAATTTTACTTTCGCAATGATATTCTCTAACAATACTAATAATAGCATTAAATATATTATTAGTGTTGTTAGGAAATTCAATAATTTTAAAAGTAATAATTTTTTTATGCGTGCACCAAAGTGAGACTATATAATGTGTAGTTGCAGCTATATATGTTCTTTTATTAACCCTTTCTCATATATCCGAAGTTAAAGATATAACACCCCCATATTTTTGCAAATTCATAATTAATTGTTGTTTTGTTTCAGTAAAATATTGTATTATATCGGAATGAAGAGTGTTTCGACTTACCCCAACGTACCTTGGTTGCTGATATTCTTTCACATACGAGACGTAGTGTTGGTTGTCAATTAATGCCAAAGGCAACTCAGCACTAGCAACAAGCTTCACCATTACGGTTCGAGCTCTCTCCTCCGAATACACCCATGTGGATAGGGGTGCAGCAGAACCACTGACGTCTGGACTGCCAAATTACAATTGTGTTTGACAACCTAGAATAAATCCGTGTTTCGCCGCACATACTTTGTAATGGCTGTTGAGATGAGTGGTACCAATTCCTCTTTGCCATGCCTATCTTTGTTGGCAGTATTCACATACTGCTTTGGATTTTGGGATTCCATTGACGATTTTTCCTATTGAGATCAACTTAAAGTGATCCCAACATTTTACTTTTTTTTCCCTTTCGCTTTCCTCTCGCATCAAGAATGTTTAATTCAGTCTCTTCTTCTTGATCGTGTTCCACTTTGGGAACATCAACATCATCCAAATTAATTGGATAATTTGGATTGCCACTTACATGATGATGAAGATCCAAATCTGGAATATCTTCAGATAGGGGTACGTCATTTAGACCATCAAATTGATTCCGAAATTGACTTTGCGATGTCATAGGCAATTCGTTTCCTCCCACACCGAACAAGTTTTCGACAAATGTGCGTGAATCTATTTGTTTAATTGTAATAAGTAATATCTAATAAAAGAATAATTGTATAAATGTAGTGAGAAATGAAAATTGGATGAAATTTCAATAAATATAGTGAGAATTGAGAAATGAGAATTTAATAGTGTATAAATTGTATATAAAAATTGCACAACTATTAACACAAGAAAGTTGAGAGAAAGAGAATTGAGAGTTGAGAGTGAATTGTAGAAAATTTTATGGCTAAATACCACTATATATAGAAGAAGAAGAGAGAAAACAAAAAAAATAAAAAATAAAAGTAAAGGATTGAAACGGTCATTGAAAAAATTCAGTGATCGTTAACGGTCGTAAATTTTAAAAAAAATAAAAAAAATTTTAGTGACCGTAACGGTCACTTTATAAACGAGCCGCTCGTGGGCTCATTGCGAGCGACTCGTTTAATTTGTGAGCCGAGCGGGCTTGGCTTGCCCACCGAACCGGCCCGCTCGGCTTCGCTTTCGGGCTCGTGTTTTTATAAGCCCGAGCCGTCCACAAGCTCTGTTTTCGCGAGCCAACGAGCCGTTCGGTCCATTTACCACCCCTAGGTTCTGCAGCATCATGGAAATCTTGAAAACAAACATATATAGCTAGTTCAAACCATTTTGTTTCTTTTATGAAGTCGATGGCGATGATGTTGGATTCCTTCTATTTTTCGGCTTTTTTTCCCTTCGGTTTGTAAAAGGTTTCGAGTGTTTGTTTGATTTTTATTTTGGTTGCTTTTACGGCTACAACTAAATAACTGAAGATGTTGGAATCCAAATTCATTGTATTAGACAAAGCTGGAGAAAAAGCCGAATGGCTACGGAACTTTCTAGAAGATATTCCATATTGGATAAAACATATGTCTGCTATATGTATCCATTGTGATAGTCAATCAGCAATTCGTAGGGCACAGAATGCGATGTACAAAAGTAAATCTTGACATATACATCGTAGATACAATACCATTAGACAATTGCTCTCTACTGACATTATCTCTATAGATTATGTGAAATTAAAAGAGAATATTGCGTATCCACTAACTAAAAAGTTAACAAGAGAGCAAGTCAAAAGTTTATCAAAGGGGATGGAATTAAAACCGATTAAATAATCAAAAGTTTCCATGGTAGCAACCCTACCTAGTTGACTGAAAATTCCAAGATCTAGATTCAATGGGACAACAAAATTGTGGAAAACTTAGTACGCACTGGGAAAATTCTTACTCCTACCCATTCTTATGATGAGTCAGTGCCTAACTGTCGCGAAAGAGGTTAAGTTACGTTTTTAATGATTTCTATATCTTGATTCGTTCTAGTGGAGTATAGCATAATACTCTTTATAGAAACCACCTATGTGGATGAGAAGGGGCCACTTATCTGAGAATTAAGCGAATATGAATTCTCTAAAAACACTTATGAACTAGGAAGTGTCCAAGGCCAAAATGAACACAAAAATGAGAACCAACTGTGTTCGAAGAGAACTGTGTTATTTCTATTGTCTAGGTTTACATGCATAGTTGATTGTTCAAAGTGACTTGCTACTGATTGACTAAGTAAATCCGATAGATTTTACTAGGAAAAGTTCAAAGTCTTTGGCTACTTATCCCGATGCAGTTTTCTTCAATTTTATTCGATAAACATATCAGATATTGTTGTTTGGAAAAAGGCCGACATATTTCATTCATGTAGGGAATTGTTAGAAAATGGTTAGTGAAATGAGTCAACTTTGAGCACAAATTTCAGTGGGACCTACATTTAATTAATTCGGGACCTAGTTTATTCATGTTCTACTCTGCGAGATGATTAATGCGATATATTTATTTGTCGAATATCATTTAGATTTGAACGAAATATTGAATGTCAAAGTAATACACTTGAAACTATAAATCATGAAAGAATTCGATTTGCCAAACACTTATCCCACATAGAAAAGTTAAGAAACTTTGGTGTGGTTTATATGGTGGAAGTTTGAAAATTGGGTTTGGGACCCAAGGGGTATCAATAGTCTTTGGAGGGGGAGACCTTTATCCAATCGAGTTCAGTCATAAACCCACACGCGCGCCGCCGCCGTCCAACTGGCCGGCTCGACAGCACGAGCACGAGCACGAGTCCGGTTCGAGTGCGGGTGTGTCCTTGTCCTATATTAATTTGAATTTTTGGGCGAAATTGTAAATAATCAAATTATTGAGTACTTAATTAAATTAATTTTGACTTATTTTCGAGTAATTTTTCTTGGTCTGGATGGTCTGTTAAACAGTCGTCTATTAATCGACCAAACAATCGACTATTAACCGACTAAATCGACGTAGTACAAACGAACATGTCTATTCAAGTTTTGAAAACTACATGAACAGTGACGACTGTTCTGGAGGATATTCGAATGGCCACGAACAAGTCTATAAATAGTCTGTCTCACTGTTAGAAAAATTACATCTTTTTCATTGCAAATATTCTCTACATTGAATCTCGTCCTCCCTCTCTCTCGTTCTACTATTATTTTCGAAGTTAAAACACTTCGTTGTGTTCGTTGGAATTCCTGCAGATTGCTGTGCTGCTTCCGTAGGAGACGAAATTCGTCATATCCTGAGAAACGATTGTTGAACGCCTTTAGTATCATTGAAGACAGCAAATTCATTTTAAGGAAATATCGTGAAATCAGTGAGGTCGAATCAACCATTCTGATCTTGTTGATCGTATTGTTACGCTATTCAAAATTACGTAAGGTAATTCTTTCGGATTGTTTAGAAGGAGAAACTTATACTCGAGGAACAACAGTTAAAAACTAGTAAATTTCTCTCTTCTAAAAAAATAAATAAATAAATAAATAAATTTGAAAGCAATACCCACATTCTCGTTAAAATAAATAACTTTTTACAAGAAGCATGTCCTTGCATATTTAGATACAAAAATTTTACTTAAAATGTAAGTCTGTTTAGCCTATTTTAAACTTATCCAAACATTCTATTAACCTGATGCACTACACTGAGTATCTAATTTCAATTTTTTGAATTGAGCCAATAATTCTCTCTTCTTAATCTTGATTTCCTATACATAAATATTGTTGGAAAACGAGTCGCTCATGTAGAACGACCGACCCACATGATTTTGACATGGTAGAAGGGAGTAGTTTTATTTTGAATTTATAAACTACATATACCGTATAAATGCACAGAGAAGGCCATAGAACAGTATCATTCCATCAAAACCTCGCTAAAATTGGCATTTGGGTTGTGGCAAATCAATCCCTCACATTGTCATCGGGTTTGAGACTATTGGAGTAATTTAGAGTGTGTTTGGTAGCCATTTTCAACAAATTTTAATAGAATTTCTGTCTGTTATACAGTAAGATGACAACTACATTACTGCCAAATTCAAGGGAAATTACCTTTGTACCCCTTTGCATTTATTTCATTACATTCTAAGAGTGGCATTTTAGAGAATTTGCTTCTGGTTGAGTCAAAAAGGGACGGCTGCAATGGGCCCACGTCACTGTTACAACAGTCAAAAAAGTTCTAAAAATATCGAGAAAATAGCTACCAAACACAGCCTTAAAATGTTGAATGGAAAATGGACAAGTATAGTGAATTCAACAATGCAAAGATCTTGAAAAATCTCCTTTTCAAGTGAGGTTTTTTAAACAGAAATTTCAGCCATACTTCGTAATGTTACAAATATGATACCGTTTAAAAATTTTATGCATGTTAAAGTACACATGTTGAGAAACTCAAGAATGAACATCTTATTCTTTCTTGAATATAAATACTCTCGTAACATGCAAAGAATGCTACTCAAGAAAGAATTCGACAGCTCGAGTACTTGCCGGGGCAGGTTAACGGTAACCATCCCACATTATTTAATCTATATATAAGCAGTAGAAATAACAAGGAAACAAAGAGTACTTTACGATCACTTTTTCAACCTTTTCATTTCTTGAATTTGACTTCACAATTATTCAATCACAAGAAAGGATTGACTTCTACAATATGGGAACAATATGATCCATGTTATAGGCTGAGAAATTAATATTACAATTATATAGGAACTAAGAAAAATAAATGAACTCGAAATGTATAGCGTATGATACTGATCATTCTAAGATCCTGAAAGCATTTTGGTTAAGGTATTCTGCACGAATGCAGCAGACTCTACAGCCGATTTAGTTAGCCAACTGATCCCAACTTTAAACCGGTGCTCATCTGTTGGTAATCTGATTAAGTATGCAACTTTCCTGGCTGCAATATAGTCACACAATCAAATCAAAGAAGTGGAGAATAAAATAAATAGCAGGACTGTCTCTGTATATTACATGCTGAGGATTGTTCTACCTGTGTGACCAATGGGACCATCTAAAGTTAGCCCCTCGATGAAACTTGGTGTAACAGCAGCATCATATCTCCCAAGAGTCATCATCTCACCTAAATTCTGAAATCTGCAGCAAGAACACTCGCAGTAGTTTAAGACGAGAGTGAAATAGATATTAATATTCACGCTCCAAGACATTCCTTACGATACATAATCAAATGCATATATGAATAGACAGAAAAAATTAAGTGCTTGTTTGGCTATAATTTAAAAGTTTACTTGAAAGTAATAAGTAGACTCTAGAATAATTAGTTTTATTATGGTTAAATTTGGAAATGAGTAACATATTTTGAAAGAATTGGTTTACTGTCCAAATAAGAAAGTATTTTTATTTTTATTTTTAAATAAACTAATAACTAAAGAAAAAGTAACTTATCCAAACATGTTTTTGTTTAAGGAAATAACACCAAGACAGGAGAGAGAGGATCTGTAAAAGGTGGGGCTTGTAAATGGAAAATTAACTAAGATTTACATACTGAGTAATGTTATTTAACACCGCTGTTATTAAAACACCCGTCTATGTGTTATTAATGTAGCATTAAATGAGAGGTATAATTAAATGAATCGCTTAATTTTATATTTTATTGAGTCTATCATTTAACACTACCTAGACGGTTGTTCTAGCACCAGGGTGCTAGATAGCATTATTCTTACATATTTGTGAGATCTTCAATAGTAGCACGAAGAATTTCATAGAAAGGTCGAATTCACCACATGACATGCTTCTTATAGATCTACAACAACAGATGAGTGCATATATGTTACAAATGTGATTGATGTCTAACCTAAATGGTAACAGTGGTCGGTCGTTTATTGCAGCCCAGAGATTCCAAGCTGCAAAATCTGCCTGCTGGAATGCTACCTGAGAAGAATATAACAGCAAATTTAGTGTCAATAAGTCAAGAAAATCAGAAAACATGTCCTGAGTGGAAAATAAAATATTCAAGGCATTCTTTCAGTAAGAACTGTTTCGAAAGTGAAAATAGTAAATGTTACCTGTGCAGTGTCCGGAAGCAATTTTCCGCTTCTGTCTCTTAAAGCAGAAGAATCTCCCAGTGCAAATATACGAGGATGACCCTTAACACGAAGAGTTTCATCTGTTTCTGCTTGGCCCCTAGAATTTAGAGAAAGATCAAGCAGCTGATCGACAGTTTCTAATTGAGGAAGTAGAGGTTTAGACCCAATGGTCCATAGAACTAAATCTGCTTCCACAGTTTGACTTTTTAAGCCCCTTTCAGCAGGCTCTAACTCCAGTACAAATCTTTCAGGATCATCATGATCAGCTTCAACATTGGAGAGTTCATGTGAAGTTTCAATATCACCGTTTCTCCTTATACAGCGTACAAAGTAACCCAGTAAAAGTTGAACATTCCTGGATGATAGAACCTGTCAAAAAGAGCTCTTAGTAGTAACGCATTTATGACATGGACAGATTGGTTGGAGATCATGCCAATTTAGACATAAAATTATTGACCCACATGATGTGCAAGAGACATGTTCTTGGTCAAAAACAATTGTACCATCTCTGGGAAAGCATTAATGAAACAACGTTGAGAATGGTGTGAGAAAATGGCTTCGAGATGAATTGGATCATTTGTCTAGAACATTTGTCCAAAAAGCAAGAAAAGGTAGTCTTCAACCAAAACAAAGCCAAAGTACCTGAGGCCATTGGTACTTGTCCAGTACAACCTTATATACCAATAAATCGCTCACTAATAGGGCAAGGAGATGTAAATAAAATGGTGCAGTAGACAAGATGAAATCAGTTACCAGGAGTAAGTAAAGATGCATGAAATTCAGTTTTTAAAAGCATAGATACACTTCTCTGCAAGAGTAAAGCCCATAATTTAGTAACAATAACTGTAAAGTGTGAACTGCCTAAGAACCAAATCAGATAGCAAAATAATTAATCATTCCTTCAAATCTATAAAAAAAAAGATCATTTCATCAATGTCTGTGTTAATCTCAAAAACCATACCAGATGATTCGTAATCTATAAGATTGCATTGAGTAGAAGCAATGGTTTTAGGAAATTGATTACGTAATCTATAAAAAATGATTTCGTACTTTTGAAGCAGATTCCCTATTGCCAGGTGGAGCATTTGGCAAGATTGTTTTTCCGACATTAATTGCCTGTACACATCCCCTAGCTTGTAGTCTTTCTGCTATAGTGGCAGCCAACTCAACTCCAGAGTATCCGCATCCTACAACAGTAATGTGAATCGAAGATTCCTTACCAAAATACTTGCGCTCCAAAGCTGTAAGCTTCTCATTAACGCTCTGCGTTACAAGATACCAACATAGAGACATATCAAAGTTTCATCAATATAGAATTTTGATATTGGATAAATTATTTTCCCTGATTCAGATACTAACACAAGCGTCCTCAAGGGTAGAAAATGGATATGCATATTCCATTGATCCCGGTACAACGTCAAGTTTAGCTTCAGCTCCAAGTGCAATTACCAACCTGGCTGCCCAGATCAAGTGTGAAATCAGCATATCCCATGATATGTAAATTCAGAATCATATAGAATAGAAGTACTACAGAAGCACAAGCCATCTTCTCTTGCTGTCACTGGATTTAGTTTGCATACGAAAATATCTGGGAACGTTACAAAAATGGCAAAAGAATTTGAAATTCTCTCAACTATCTGGAAACATATATTTGCAGATAGACAAGGACATCAAGCCAACAAGTTGAAAAACTTGAGCTTGCACATCAAACCACATTCAGGAAAGTATATATAATCTATGTTTGTGAAGACATTCACGTGTGAACAAACTACTAGTCAGTAGATGATAAACTATTGAAGATTGTCACAATACATTTTAGTCCTATGTTTAATCAACTATCCAAAGACATAAAGGAAGAGATTTCACCACTCTAGGGAAGATTATTATTGTCAAGGTATCTGTCAAAAATTGAGGTCAAATGGCTCATTGCATGTATCAAGCTTGACAAACAGAATCAATGGAATAAGAAGAAAAATGAATGATCAAGCTACAAATAAAAATTGTCTTAAAAAGTAATTTCTCAATAAATATGAGGTAAGATTTCAAGTCTGGAGCAGACTAGTTCTGAAAAAAAGAACAATGTGCAGTAATCAAACAATGATACAAGAAAATCTAATCAAACGAGAGCTCTTTGTCTCCTGATACGCTTTTGGATCTTTGGGCTTGGGTCTCATTTTCAACAAAAAAAATACTTCATCAAACAGCCTCGATGGGTGTCAATTGAAGCTTCAGTCTGATGGTTCTCAAACTACTTCTTAGAATACTTATAAAAAGGACAAAAAATCTGTTACAGCAAAAATTCACCGGTAAAGCTACAACATTCACAGCAAACAGCATGAACTCTCATGAATCATACAAAAGTATACCAGTCGTATTCAAGAAGGAGACCACTTTCCAGATGAACTACTCCTGCAGAGCCAGATACTGCATGCCCATTTTTTTCTATATGATAGCGAGGATGTAAACTTTTCACTTTGTCTTGAAAAAATTGCACAGCAGTGTTTGCCAGCAAGTCTGAGAAGCGAGGAGCAATTTCCCATTCATCTACTTCTGTACTAGGAAAAATTACCTTGGTAAGATGAAAAACTGTAATTAACATAGCATAACAAGGAGAAATATTGACACTCCATCATATATAATCAAAGTATACCTCCAGAAAGGAGCTCATACAGTAATGGCTTAAAAATAAAGCGCTCAGATTGGTCAATGATAACCACCTGTTGAATTACAGAAAATGCTTCATTATCTGGGTAACACTCATCAAGATGACAAATGTGTATGAGCAAAGATATCCACAATCCACAATTCAGTCAGAAAAGATTTATAGATTTTAATTTTATTCTCCAATGGAACGGAGAGGGTTCGAAAGCCCCAATACAAAGTTCTATCAAATTGAATATTCAATTTTAAATAATTCCTTATTCATTCAAAAAAAGAGTGAGAGAATTGATTGGTTTGGCCTTGTGAACAAAGTTCATACAGGTGAAGGTTCTACCAATAAAAATTGTGTGTTATAGTTTCATCTCATACTATACATGAAAACTATGTTGCAACTTAAAAATCTATATCTCTATGACAAAAATTAAATACAAACAGAGGAAAGTCCTACCATCAATCACAACTTTTTAACATTTATATATCAATTCATATGCTACATGTATATATGTTTGTTGAGAAACACAGAAATTACATCATGTTACGCAATAGAAATATATGCATTGTACAATATTGTAAAATAAACATCAAAAGTATTTCCACTGAATCATTTACAGGCATCTGCGGTCTGCAATTTGGTACTGGACAGGAAAGCCTTTTATACCACGATGCATGAAAAACTGACATCAGTAAAATGTGCTACGAATAGAAACATGTCAAAAATCAGTTAATGGAGCTTTATATTTTAATGAACCTTGAAGGCTTAACAGAAGGCCTAGACTACGAATGTGGTATTAAATTGATTAATAAAAAGCAACTGTTTTCCCTTTTTTCACAAGAAAATATCTTCCATTCCAATAGAAGAGCCAGAAAAACATCAATTGAAGAAATATATATTCTACCAGAATGTGGAGTATATGATATATTCTGATTACTTGGTCACGAACTGAATAAATTCATGCTTTTTGTGTGTGCATATACGTGTGCATATATACCAGCCTTGTAGATAGAGTATCAGGGGACATATTAGATAAACTGTCCCTTAATAATAGGTTACCTGGGGTTTCTTGTCGTCGGGCCAAGTTAGTGATTCCAATCGTAGTGCAGTGTACAGCCCTCCAAACCCACCACCTAGTATGCAGACCCTTGGTCTCTGTACGTATAACAATGTTTTTGTTACAATATAGTTGATAACATTTGCGGTCTCAGTGATGTAGGAAGCACATAACCGTGAAAATAAAATCATGAATTGAAAAGAATTTAAGAGAGAATAAGAAACAAGGTTGTTTCATACAATCGCTCTAGTTTATTTTTTCTGTTATTCTTCCATGATTTATGGGATTTGTTTGTTGTTAGAATTTAGGAAGATTAGCAGTACATTTATTGCTATTCACTCCTATAAATTGTACACTTTTTTCGACTGTGGATATAAGAAAATATAGAGTTTTCCTCTCTACATTTATACAGAGTTCGATGTGGGAAGATTGTAACCATGAAAGCATAATCAAGAATTGAAAAGAACTTATGAGAGAAAAAGGAAAATTAAGGAGAAGATGTTGTAATTGTATTCAATAATTAAAAAGGTGATTAAAATGAAGAGTTAATCCTCTATTTCTAGGGGTTTAAGCAATCCAATACTATGTAGGAAAGTAATAAAAACCTAAACAAAGTAGGAAACTAACTAAAAAATTAATTCGGATCTATCGCAAGCTAAAATTAAAGAAACCGTAACTTATTTAATTTCTTTTTTACCTCAAGTATTCTTTTAGTGTTGCATCAATGAGACTCATTAGTTTCAAAATTTTAGAGAGCATAAAAAAATCATGTACCCTAAAATTAGACAAGAAAGTACACAGTATGAAAGATTTATTTCAAGAAAACAACCCAACATAGTCAAGTAACTAAACAAAACTTTCGTTCAAAAGAACAGTGTGATAGCACCTGGATAGGTTAACAACAGGAGATATCAATCAAAATTTAGTACAACCTTACGTGGAGAAGAGAAAAAAAGATTGATATATCTAACCTCAAATTTATTGACTAAGGGTTACCTTGTTATTATTTCCTCTCACGACTTAATATTTTGAGGTACTAATCGATAGCCTCATTTCCTTGCCTTTGAAGGAATAAATCTTTTTATGTGACTAAACAATCATTGGTTCATCCATCAACTTTGCTGTTTCTCAACAAGTTCTGTAAGATCTTCATCTCCGAAATGGCTCTTTCCATGGTTGCATTTAAAAATTGGTAAGTCAATGCAGATTTTTTTAGCAAATACACCAATGACATACAATCTCCTTTCATCTCCACCAATTTCACAAGTTCAGCAATTCCTTAATTATCAGGCATCCTGAACTCTGGACCAATTTTGTCAAAAGCAAAGAATAAATTGCACAGAAACTACACCTTCATGAGCATACTAATTGTTCTCCTCTTAGTTACTCTTTTGCCGACACACCTAGTACTTTTTATGCTCCAGTTCACTTTGATTGCCTAAATATTACATGAATGCAACTGAAGCATGAATTTCTTTCATTTTTTTTATCACAAACTAGTGTAGTTTGTAAATTCTTGCTTTAATTTCAACTTCAACATTTTCTATTGGTTAGATCGTCAACCTAAGCCCGTATATATTGGATGTGGTATATCACCCTTAACATGCCTCACAAGATAGTGGATAATCTTGGAAATCAAATGCTTGTTTGAGCTCTAGACAGACTAAATTGCTCAGGGTGTTTTTGACGAAAAAATAAGTTTTGCAGTAATGATGTTTTGGAGAATGTTAAAGTGGAAAAGTTTTGAGTTTGCGTGTAAAATTATTTTATTTGAAAAATGCGTAGTAAAAAATGAGTTTGAGAAAAAATGAGTTTCTATGGAGCTGGGGTTATACAGGAGATCATTTGAGCTTAATGTACTTTGATATAATATTAAGACTTGGATGAGACAGTAGTAAGCTATGTTTATATTTAAATACTATTCTTAACATCTATTACAAGTAAGCAGCTTACCTATAGGGAACAAAGTATCAACACTACCCACAAAATCAAAAGGGTTAAATTGTAGAAAAATGGAGTCCAACCTTGTTATTGTCAGGCCAAGCGTAACAGGGAGGCTCAGATTCCTTTGCAGAAACTTCCATGACGTCCCCATATTGTTTGGTTGTGGCCGAGGCAACAATGCAGAGCCCACGCCTCCAGGCCGGAGTGGAAAATATCCACGAATTGGTCGGACACTTCCGCGAATTTTTCATGAATAACTTTCTCAATCGGAAATGCCCACCTGCAAAATGAAAAATTCACCTTAGATTCAAGAAAAGAAAAAGGTAGACAGGTAAAATTGAACGTAAAATCATCTTCGCACATTGCATAACAAAATGGCGATTGAAGGAAGTACAGTTGAAAAGTGGTAACGTCAACAATGGAGAAATTGTGCTTGCCATTACAAGTCGCCTACTTGCACGTCTAAAAATACGGTGATTCTAAGAATAATCACGACTTTAAAGAGTGAAGCATTTCTTAATCTGCAAATCAAAATACAGAAAAATTGACAAGCAAGCCCAGGGGAGAGTGGTGGCGGTGTCTGTCTGTGTGTATTTTCGGAGCGGGCGCTAGTCGATGAGTTTTTGTGTGTGGCAGTGTTGATGAGTTTGTGTGTGGTTGTGTTGGTTCCACGAGTTTGAATTTAGAAGTAGGCGTGTTAGCGGGTAATTTAGGCATGAACGTGTATTGAATCATTGGTAGCAACGTAAATGCATCAATATCAAGCGCTCTGGAAAACAACATTTTGAACAGTGGAATTTTGAAGAAGGTGCGATTATAATGTTTGAAAAAATTTAGGTCTACCATCTACATACAAAATATTTTAGGGAAAATTGCAATCGAGGTACCAAACTTTTAGTTTATTAACAGACTTTGTCCAAACCTTTCATTTGTGCCACCATGAGTACCAAACCTTTAAAAAATGTACAGTCCAAGTCGAAATTGACAGTTTCCATCTGTTTGACCACAAATACCGTCACTTGACTCCAAAAATAAAAAATTTAATTATTTCCCCAAAATATGGTAAGGGCAATCTGGACATAATACATTTCCCCTATTAAATTAAAATTAGAAAAGCAAAAAGCAAAACCACAACCACCCACCCCCATCTCCTTCTTCCCCAACCCCCCTCACAAATGACTTTCCACTTGTCGAAGCCATATCCGGCACCACCACCTCAAATTGGAGACAATAAACTCGCCCTCGTCTTCATCTTTTGCAACGTCGTCATTTTCCATAACCTCATAATCGTTCATCACCACGTGCTTCACCTCGACGGTTGCATCTTCACTCTCGTAAACCGTTGCCGTTGGACTGCTCAAATCACCTATGGTGGAAGCGAGACACAGCAGTGACGGTGATGATTATTCCATTGATGATGACATATAGATAAGGAGGCTTGAGCCACGACAGTAACATGGACAAAGCGTCAAGATTTCATGAACTACGTCGTGTATAATTATCGGTACGAAATATCTTACCCCCACAACTAGAGATACAATTCTAGTTGAAATCAGGAACAATTTCAGTGAAGCAAACCACGTGCTATTTGATTTCATGAATCCTTCCGTTTGAATCGTCAATGAATTCTTAAATCGACAATGAATTCTCCAGTGAAAAAGCTATAGTATATAGGTGTGCTTGCTTTTTACAGAAAATGTGCTTTCTTCAATGAAACCTTAAGCAAAACCCACACATCACTTTCAATCTACAAATTCCCCATGATCTAACAACAAGATCTTCCTCAAAATCATACAATCCACCAATCTGACTTAAAAATTGGGAAGTCGCAAAGCAGTTGAGTTGGGCAAGGCAGCAGACTTTGGAGGGGAGAATTTGCACTAATCCAGCAGGTTTTATAAGATCATTAAGCTTTTCTTGTTGATGAGTATTGTTGGGCGGGCAGTGGTGGTGATGCCGGTGGGTAGTGGTGGCTGCCGATGATGAATGTGGTGGTTGGGTAGAGTGGTTTTGGTTTGGGGAAGAAGGAGTTCGGGGTGGGTGGTTGTGGTTTTGCTTTTCTAATTTTTAATCTAATAGGGAAAATGTATTATGTCCATAATGCCCTTATTTTATTTTGAGGAAATAATTAAATTTTTAATTTCTGGGGTCAACTGATGGTATTTATGATCAAACAGATGGAAACCGTCAATTTCAACTTGAGTTGCACATTTTTTTAAAGGTTTGGGTCTCACGGTGGCACAAATAAAAGGTTTAGGCAAAGTCTGCTAATAAACGAAAGGTTTGGTACCTCGCTGTAATTTTTTCAATATTTTATTGTGTGAACGTGTAGTTAGAAGATGAGTAAATAGAAAAAATTTTGAAATAATGATTATCAAATAGGAGCTAATACTATTCATCCACGTATTGATGATTCGTAAATTTATGTGGCATTAAGATTGTTACTACAACTGTCCAATATAACGCTTTCAAATTTAATGAATAATGGAAAAGTCACTGAACTGTTATATAGATCGATTCTAGATAAATAGAATGTTTCTTATGTTGATGTCATTTTTTGTCAAATTAGATGTTAATGTCAATTCCTACCATCTGTCGATAAAAATAGCGAAGTCAAAATTTTCACACGGGCAAAAAAAATTGTTCTAAAGACAATACTTATGTTAAGTACCAATAACATAACACACTAACTACCAATAGATTTAATCATTTTATAGGATTACACACACACACACACGAAAATTAATCTTTTAAGCACCACTATTTAGCATAATATGGCACACCGCAATAGGTGACGTAATTGTTGGAAAGATATAGAGGAATGAAGAAGAGACAACAAAAATGAAAATGTAATCACAAGTTGAATTAATGTCCAGAAATTTGAAGAAAATAAAATGGAAGGCTCGAACGCATAATCGCTATCTTCAAACTATATTTACCTCCTCTCGGGATTGAATGAGATGCTTAAGGATCTTTGGCAAACGATTTTGTAGGATTATAACAAGCCTTGTAAAGGATCTAGCACCAAAGTATAAGTGCGATCCTCCAAAACTTTAAGAATACAAAGAAGAAATTGAGTATGAATATCAATCAATTGTTTGATCTTTGATTTTGGAATGAGTATTGATCACAAAATGTTATTCACATTATTTGGCTTTAGATTTAACACCTATTTATAGGCCATCACCAAATGTGCACGAAATGGTGCCAAAATAGGTTGAAAAGCCACCACTTTTGAAGTTATAACGGTAGAAAAACGGCTCCCAATGGTCACAGGAAATCACCATGCGGCCGCATGGAGTAATTGAAGGGCCCCTTTATATCTCGGTAGATGGCCATGCGACTGTGCCATGCGACCGCATGGCACAAAGTTTGGGCCTCCATTTTTTCTTTATATTTCCACCGTTTGGTTTCCATGCTGGTTTTTCTTTGGCTTCCTTCATGATGTTTCATTCCATTTTCATTTCTTAATTGAATTTTGAACAATATAACAATTCCCCACTTGTTCAAAAATTTCAATAAAGGAATCTCATACTCAAATCATACGATACTTATGCATAAGGACTAGATATCTTTCAATTTGAATCTAGCCATTTTGTAATCCAAACAAAGTAAAGTCGGAATCAAAGGTAGCCGTAGCTTTGAACCAGTTATTCCATGTGACAATACCGGTTCGAACACACACGAGTACCACATGTTCTCAAGTTCCTCATATCTCGCTTAGCACTGTTATGACCTTGCGCTCATCCTATTCAACAAACTTTTAAGAGAGAAAGTCCAACTTTCACTTGAGGCGTAACTACCTCGAAGTTTGTTTAGGTGAAGTTCTTCCAGTACCTTTGTTACTTTTAGATGTACTTGTATTTTAGTACTGAACTTCATTAAAAGCTTTAATGTTCAACCCTCATTTCAGTAATAACTAGCATTATTTTACTTAGGATAGGGTCATTGCGGATTTTAATAATGCTATGACCATCCCACATATCGAATGACTTATTTTTACCCTTTAAACCCGTGGATTACCTTTTGAGTAATGACAGGTAGGGTTGCCGCCATTGGTGGACCTTTATTTGAAAGGAGTTTCAACTCCATCCTACTTGAAGTAGATGCCACTAAATCTCTATTTAGTGGTTTAGTTAATGGATCCACTAAGTTCTCAATTGACTTTACATAATTTTGGAAAATTGTTCCATCTTTGATTAATTTCCTTATGTAGTCATGTCTTAGACTCGTATGTCTAGACTTTCCATTGTATATCTCATTGTATGCTTTCGCTAACGTGGATTGACTATCACACGATAGGTATTGAAGACATACTCTTCGATCCCAAAGATATCTCATAGAAGAGATCCTTAAGCCACTCAGACTCTTTCCCGGTATCCGATAGTGCAACAAATTCAGATTCCATGGTCGAGTGTGTTATGCATATTTATTTCTTTGATTTTCAAGAAACAACACCTCCTCCAAGAGTAAACACCCAACTCGAGGTGGATTTACTTTCACCCGTACTAGATATCCAACTATCATCAATAAATCCTTCCAATACCGCCGGGAATTTATTATATTGTAGGCCCAAGTTCTTAGTTTTCTTTAAATATCCAAGAACTCTCCCAATGACCTTCCAATGATTATTGCTCGGATTGCTAGTAAACTTGTTGAGTTTACTTATTGCATAGACTATGTCCGATCTTGTGCATTGAACTGCATATATAAGACTCCCTATAGCACTTGCATACTCCAATTGAGCAACCGCCCTTCCACTATTCTTTACAAGAGTCAGATTTGGATCGATTGGGGTACTGTATTCCTTTAACTTTAAGTGTTTGAACTTATCTATCACATTCTTAATATAATGTGATTGACTCAAATAGTAACCCCCACTAGTCTTTGTGACTTTGATACCCAAAATGGTATCCACATGTCCAAGATCTTTCATTTTGAATGTGGAAGATAGAAACATCTTCTTTTCTTCTATGTCGTCCCTGTGATTACTCATAGTCAACATGTCATCAACATATAAGCATATAAATGTCACATAATTTTCACATACTTTGAAATATAAACATTTATCTACAATATTATGCTTAAACCCGAATGATATAATTACTAAGTCAAATTTCTCATGCCATTTCTTAGGTGATTGCTTCATTCCGTACAAGGATTTCACCAATTTGCATACCTTATGTTCATTTCTGGGTAGGACAAACCCTTCATGTTGTTCCATATAGATCTCCTCATCGAGATCTCCATTTAGGAATATCGTCTTAAGATCCATTTGATGAACATGCAAGTCATAAATTGAAGCTAAAGTGAATAATATCCTGATCAATGTTATTCTAGCAACCGATGCATAGGTATCAAAGCAGTCAATTCATTCCTTTTGCCGATATCCTTTGACTACTAATCTAGCCTTGAAAGTATTTAAGGATCCATCAACATTATATTTTCTTCTAAATACCCATTTACATTCTATGGGTTTGGATCCCGGGTGTAGATCGAGAAGCTCCCAAGTGTTATTGGACATTATCGAATCCATTTCCTCCTTAATTGCATCCTTCCAAAAGATGCTATCATGCGAAGCCATAGCTTCTTTATTAGTCTTGGGGTCAGATTCCACTTGTAGAACAAAAGGAATTGTCCTTACAACAATCAACTCATTATCCTCTACCAAGTAGAAGGAGATAAATTGAGAATCAATTTCATCTGGTCCCAAAGACTTCTCAACCGAAGTTC